CCATGCCTGCTATCCTCTGCTGTCAGGTAAACTCCACCTACGTATAAAGGCCAGAGTTTACAAGCAAATGATACGCCCGGTGCTGACCTATGGATCTCCTGCGTGGTCCACAGCCAGCACCTCGCAAAAGCAGAAACTGGCAGTATTCCAAAATAAAATCCTGAGGATAGTGACAAAGGCCCCGTACTTCGTCAGAAATACCACCCTGCGAAGAGACCTGGATATAGAGGAGCTGCTGGACCACATCCGGAACCTAACGTCAGGGTTCCTGGATAGGATCCGGCACCGCAAGAATCCCACCGTCAGGGTTTCTTGCACCAAGAAGTTCAACTGTGACAGCAGACCTCTCCCTGCGGACACAGTCTAAGAAGCAGAYGTGGACCACATGCGATGACCAGTTCCTGCACCACAACGAGGACCATGGGCTAGATTAAAGTTAGCTTAGGAAGCGTTAGAGGATGTGTTAGGTTAGGTTTAGGTTAGAATAGGTTAGATTAAGTCATACGATGTCATTTAAAACAACAAGATGTTAGCATTAAGGATCCATAGAATAAGTAGCAGTAAGAAGTATTGTAAAACTTGTCTGAAATAAATATGTTCAAAAGCAAGCAAAGTAACTGAACTGTTAAGCACTGAACTGTTAAGTTGCCTATAACGTGTGGCCGTTAAAAATAGCATTTATGATACAGCGCAGGGCTGATTGTAACAATTAAGTTATGAATAAAGTTTGACTGATAAAGTGTAAAAAAAGTATAAAAGAAAAGTGACAATAATTAATTTCGTAATTATTCGATAGTGCCCATCACTAGTTTTGAGACAAGTTTTAGGATGTTAAAACAAAGGTTTGTGCGAGTTTACAGCTTGCTTTCTTGAATTCCGAGATTGTTACCCTATTTTGACTAATAATACTGGACTATTAAGGCTGCAGCGCACTCACCTCGCTATCATTGCTGTGCAATTTGAGGACGTAGCCAGGCAGGAGATCTTTGCGGGCGTTCACGTCCTCGAGAGCAAGTCGGGCGGCCGGCATGCACGCCTGACCGCCCTGCCACCCGGCTTGACCGCCAATGGGGAAAATGCCGCCAATGTGCAGCACGTTGCTGTCCGTGTATCCGCCGCCCACCGTCACCAACATCCGACTCAGCGCTATCAAGAGCGTCCACAGCGTCCATGGCACTGATGGTTGCTGAAACAATCAAATTTCCTGTGAATCCGATTAAACTGAATAAAGTATTGATCGAGCCGATTAACCTATTCTTGACCCAGTTACGACTCACTTCGTTAACTTTAGACAATCTTGCCAGTTATTACACTTGACACTGATTGCAACATCGATGACAAAAGAGCGGCTCGTTTGCTAATTGAGGGAGCGTAATTAGCCCCCTCCCCCGAACTTTTACGGTTGAAGCACTTGTTAACGGTTAAGTCTACTTGAAAGTGAAACAGGAAGCAAGTTGGAAAAAAATTCCGCCATTCGCGCGATTGGCAAATTATTGAATAAACGACTGCGACGTGTTTGAATGCGCGTCCTTTAGACCGGCGCTCGAGTAAATCATGTAATTGGGAGCCGGAAGAATTTTTATCCGAGTGCCACAATAGAAGATACATCGCTTTGGCATAAACTGAGAAAATGCCGAAAGTGTGGAACACAGCGCGAGTGTAAATAAGTTGCCGTCATTCAGCCCTGTGCTGTATCATAAATGCTATTTTTAACGGCCACACGTTATGTCGACTTAACAGTTCAGGACACAGAACATACCCCCTATTTGGGGATATTTTGTGGTTAGGATAACATTTTCGATAACGCAGCAACACAACCGAGGTGAGCCAACAACTCCTATAATAAGGACCAAGCGCTGATAAGTGACGTCACGCGCTGGAGGCAGTCGAACACGTCGGTGATGAATCAGAAATAAAACACTTCTTATGGGCTTAATGATTTAATTTGCTTTTTATCGCCTTTTAAGCAATTATTGTAGTACGGATATTTTATATACACATCTGTGTAAACTAATATTCTAATAATATCACATCACTACATGATTTAATTAGTAAATTTCTGACTTGTATGAGTAGTAACTCATACATTATACTATATGTATATACTAACAAGATACTTGCCTGCAACTTTATACACAACAAAGTACTTTCATAATTATATTTTAGAAATTTTAGGTTTCAGTTTCCTCAGACAGTTTTATAGCATAGGTACAGATTAACTCCATTTAGAAATAAAGTTAGTACCAACTAAATCATCATTGGAATTTTAAATTTAATTCAAAAATTTTCAAAGCATTTTAATTTATTTCATTGCTAC